AACACACCAACAGTTCTGCCCAAACACTGCACTTGCTGACCGCGTGGTTTCTCATCCCTGAGAGCACTTCTGCCACATCAACGTATTTCAAGACCATCTCACAGAAGTGTCAGCTGCATCACAGTGATTTTTCTGGCAATTAATTCCTCATCCTCCTGGTAATGGCAGGAGGAGATCTGGCTCTGGCAGAATGCTTAGTTAAAAATGAGGAAATCCTTTGTTTGTACCAGCAGAACTCACAACTCACATTTATCTCCAAAAGCACAGGGGGTGGATCTTTTGGGGGTTTTTGGAATCATCTTGTAGCAATCACAAACTGTATTTTAGATCGCTTACACACAAGGTTTATGCACAATGTGTGAATAAACCCCTAACCATCTCTACATTAACAGCAGTGGGAGTTACAGGGTGAGCACAAGCCTGCTCATAGGATGATGGTTTGACTTCTGTTTTCCCCGGTTTGGTACTGGAAGTTGAAGGCACATCATTTTATTATGTAGGAAAAATGTTTTCCACTTCTATGAGCTCCTGTTATTTAAATAGGAAAATTCTCATTTCTTCAATAAAAATGTCAAGCCAATAACTTGACAGGGAGGTCTGCAAGGTCCTGCAAAATCAGCAACCAACCAGTTTTTAACAGATGCAACAGTAAGGTTTGGCCTCCTGCTTCAGGCTCCTAAACGTAATGTAGTGCATGAGAATATGAAGTTAATTCAAAAAATAAGAAAAAATTATTTGTTGTATTTGTCCTAATCAAGCAAAGTAAAAAAAGAGAAACAAAAGCCTAAAAGGTAAAATACTTCATTTGTGGAAAGCCTTATGGGATAATTACGTTGACATTAACAAAGGCTACAAGCACAAATTTCTATCCAGCCATTTAGCTAAGCGTAGCTGAAGTCACTGTGACATACACACATACATGTGCACAGAGAGCCATGTGTATGCACAGGTTCACAGACCTGTTCAACCTGATAAACATGTTTTTAAGCTGTGACTCCTTCTGTAAGGCCAGCAGCAACTCAATGTCCTTTACTACCGTGGCACATCTTGACCCATGCTGCAAGTCCAAGATTCAGTGCAAGCAATTTTGAGCAATGTACTATCTTTGTAGAGAACCTGGGTAATGTATCTTCCTGGTAAACCGACTTTTACAGCAGAAATATTGCAGCTTTGTTATATATCATGATGGAAAACACTGCGTTTCAGTGCATCAGGCAAGCTACACTCATTTTAAATATTGAATATAAATAGACACACAGCAAGAGATTAAACCCTGTGAGTTCTCCAGTGGAGGATCCTTTACTGAATAGTAGTTCAGTTAGACAAACATGGTCCCAAGGTGCTGTAAATCCAGGCCATTCCAGTCGTACTGAATATGTTTTTGCAAAGCAGATCACCGTGGTTCATTTGTCAAATAAGAAAAATATTCTAAACTGGGAATCTCATAAGAAAAATTTATTTTTCCTTCAGAAATATGCTAGGCTGATAAACAGAAAAGTACATCTTAGCAAAGGACAGATGACAATGGCAACTGTCAACTCTCAAACACATTTTTATTTTTTGAGAGATAGGGCTACATTCAAATAATCTTATAGGTTAAATTCTGCCTCAAAAACCAAACACCCCGCCTCTCCTTCTAAGGTACTTAGTGAAAACCTCACTGGCACAAAACTTCTACTCACCAATATGAATTTTAACACATCTGAAAAACAGAATTGGACATATTGCATCTTAAGAGGACATAGCCAAAAAAATATAATACCCAAGGCATCACTCCTGACAACTTCTGGAAGCCAAAGTTGATATGTTATTGCAGGCCAAAACTTCGTTTTCTTCATAAGCACACTGCTCTGTTAGTGTAGCTGTTAGATTTTATTTAAATAACATTTTGTATCAGGACAAATACACAGAATACAAGAATTACTTATACAACGCAACAGAAGAAACCAAGTCAGGTTTTGAATCATACAATTTCACTGTACCAAAGCAAGATGTCAAAGACTTCTGGACAAACCTACGTTACAATAAAACATCCGGCCGTACCTCAGTGCTGAAACACCTCTGAAGACATCGTGCTCTTACACAGAACTGGTTTTATGCTACTTAGGGACGGCAGGGAATTATTCAAGGAAAGTTTCAGAATCAGGGTGGATGATCCGATTTTGATGCTGGTTTACATTAGGGATAGTTTTGGAGATACAAATGAAGGTCTCAATTTTCAAAAGTGAATGTTTCCTCTGAGTACCTAGATTTTAAGCTATTCAGTATGAGAAACCCAAGACCTGATTTTCAAAGTGATACATACGTTCAGCTCTGGGAAAATTGCTAAGAATTACAGGTACACAGCAACTATGAAATCAAAGCCTATGGTGTCTAAAACAGGGTTTTAAGAACAGAAGCACCCAAAATGTCCCTTCACATTACTTTGGTTTATAGGTATCATTAAATTCAATAAATTGTCTATGCTTTTGTCTATATGCATACACATATTTACCCCTGACACTGCAGCTTTTAAATCTGAGCAACTTTAGCCAGAGCTACAGAAGCCTCAGTGAGGTATAAAACTGAATTACTCATAGGTAAAGTTAAGCATGTCCATAAATAAGGATAGAAATTGAACAAAACCATTCCTGCAAAAAATTAGGCACTGAATTTTTTTGCTTTTGTAGGAGTCCACTAATATATTACTAGAGGTTTTTACATATTTTATACACTCAGATATATACATATATTTAATCAGTAATGTGTGCTTACATAAAAACATACATATGCCCACATGCAAACGATGCATACACATACCACACACACACATACACACACTCACATTCCCTTAACTGCACACATTCAAGTTCCTTATTTTTAAAGAAAATGCCACCATTTAATAGACATTGGAATTGGTTCCAGGTTCTCCAGGGTTTTAGAATTACAGGAAAAGGTAAATTACATCTGTCTTGAATATGGAAAAAAGTCTGGACTTTGCAACCAAATTAAAATAAAAAGAAAGACCACACACACCCCCCATGCTACCAGCTTTCCAATTAGGAATCAAGATATTGGAATGAATCTGGTATAAATGCAACAAGTAATGGCAGCTTTTGTATTTTTACAATAAATGTGAATCTTGTGGAAGATAAATTAGTACCAATTTATGGCGAGGAAAAAGTTCTTTCCTAGACAGGTCACTGCTGAGCCCCTTTCTTCTTCTGCTCTAGCTCCTGCAAACGCTCCTCCCGGCACTGAGCATGCTGCGTCCCCACTTTGTGGGCTGTCTCGGTGGCTGCAATGTCAATCTGTGCATATCGGGATGATCCACTCCCTGAAATACCAGATGAAATCATGTGAAAGGCTATACTGCTCTTATATTCCTGAGGAAAGCTATCAAGACACTTCTGCCACAGATATCCTAGATTATCTTGTTCTGGTCCTAAGTAAGGTCTATAAAGGGTGTAAGATGATAATCACAACTAAAACAAAACAAAACACCTCAAAAGCTCTGTTATTTACATATTTTAGGTAGCTGTTTTCTTCAAATAAACAAATGAACCACTTGTATTTCAGCCTCCCGTCTGAATCTCCATCCCTACTCCTCCCACTTGAAGTCAAAATTTGAGCTCAGCTCTCCCACTTCTGGGAGGCTACAACAGCAGCTACCAGTCAGTAAATAAATGCCTGGTATTTGAAAACACCTTTGGCAGGGCAGTTGGCAGTGATTCTTCTTTGTCTGTATCAGGTACTCTTTGAACATCTGCCAGTTCAATCACCTTCAGCCTTAGATGAATGATAATTTAGTCCAATAATTGGCAACAAGTTATGATAAAAGCTGCAGTTCCACAGCAGTTCCATATAGGTGCAGACATGCAACTCTGGAGGCTGGGAAAACTTTAGTACAGAAAAATAAAATATTTATGGTCATCAGAGGCACCTTCAAAGTTAGACAAGTTGAGCATGGGAGGGTAGTTGACATTTAGGAAAGTTTATGTCAGTTTATGAAATCTGGCTCTTCATTCTTAATGCCCTGGTTCACTGTCTTCAAAATGAAAATAAAACATCCCTTTTACATCTCAACAGGGTGTTGTGCAGAGAAGTACATTAAAGTCTGGGAGAAGCTTATAATTACTTAACTGGAGCCAAATAAACATCAAAATAACCCCACCAAATGGTGCTAGCATTTCAAAGTTAATAAACTTACTGAAATTAGAAGTATAAAAACTGAAATATCATCAGTGGAAAAACCATCAATAGCAAATGGGAAGAATTAAATTACAGATCCTGATTAGGGGGTTTCTGTAAGGAGGAATGCATCTCTAAATTACAATACAAGGTAGCTATAATGCATGCTGTTGTGCTAATTGTCCAAGTTAAGCATTAGAAGTAAAATACCCAGATCCAGACCAACAAATTTTAAAAGATTTTTAAGAAGTCAAATACTTGGCTTCCTCTCTGTAACACTTTCACACATCCTCATGGGGGGCAGATAGAAGAACGCTGCGTTCTATTCTTAAGCATTTGCTGCATGACTCCAGAGTTGGTATCTTCAGGAGCAAGCCCTGTACACCTACACCCACAGCCCAGTTTCTGAAGCCAAGCAAGGAAAATTAGGTGTAGTCCTAACACGTGCAATGAAAGTCTTGAGAACACAAAGCAAATTACTGTCTGTCAAACTCCACAGACACAGAAACATTCGCTTCAGGAGGAGTGCATATACAATGCACCTGTCAGAGAGATGCAACGTCTTATAGAACACCATTACATAAAAATCTTTTCCAAAAGAGTTGGCAGTTACAAGAACTGCCTCACAAATGTACCGTGGTTCAACTCCTGTTAGCAAGAACCTATGGGTAGACGAGAAATTAAGAATCCTGATATAGACTTCATTACTGCTTCCTTTGCTGTCTAAATAGTATTGTGGATTTCCTTACCTCTTATGCTGGTGCTAGGTTCCTGAAGTTCCAGTTCCATGTAATGAAGCTGTTTTTTGGAAGTAGGGCTGACAGGAATATTAACGTAGGTGGCTGTCTCACTGTGGGGTCGATCTGATGCAGGGACATCAGCTGAATAACCTACTGCCCCTTCTAAAATAAGTAATACATTATTGTAGACACTCTTTGCAATGGCCAACGAAGCATTTCATAAACATATGTTCTGTCAAATGTTCTAAAAGCAAACATTCAGCAGCAACAACTCAGCTTGCCAAAGACTACCATCATAGATGGGACATGAGAAGACTGAGGTTTCTACAGAACAGATGCTCACAGCCCGATCAAGCCAGGATCTATGCAGAAGACCACAGATCACAGCCAGGGCTCTCACTATGTTGTGACAGAAAGCAAACGCTGTGCAGAAGTTACCCAACAGAATCAATGTGTGCAGTGCTACCTCACAAGGCTTTCAGCTCTAACTCAGGTTAGTAAAGCCTTATATGAAACAATCTGTTCTAGGAAGATGTGGACTATTACCACATTCACAAGAGAGCAACCAGAATCACTAGAAGTTCAGAAAGTCCCAAAAACATGGACTGAAGAACTATTTCAAGCAAGGGGAAGGCAAGCTTGAAGAGGCAGCATTGACAGCTTCCCTGTACTGAGTTGAAAAAGACAGGAACGATGGCAAGTGGCGACAGACCAAGTAATAAAAGACTTCAATTGCAGGAAAAAAGTAGAAGATTAGACACTGGGAAAACCTTTCTAATAGTAAAGTTCACAAGAACCCTGGATGAAATCCCACAGAGACTGAAGAATTTCTGCATCTAGAAATTTCTAAAAAAGAAACAGACTAACACTTATTAGGAAACAGCTTTCTATAAAGTGATTCTGACTTGAAGACAACTTTTTTATCTACTGGATGAATTCTCAAAACTTCTTCTAGCCCTCCTTTCAATTATTCTGATTTTTTCAGAGGCAAAACTAAGAGAGAAGGTAGAAGGTTCCATTCAGTGACCAACCCAGCATTTCAGCCTTCAACCCCTTCCCAACATCAGGCACCTACATCCAGTCTTTCAGTTCATGAATATACAGCAGCTGTGTATAACTATTAAGGGGAACTTATTCTTCTTGGACTGTATTATGAATAGCAGAGATGGCTCATACAAAGTCAGGCAACAGTACGAGTTGACAGAGGCTATAGCAGGTTCCAGCATAATGAAATCTCTCCAGGCTTAAGCTATTTAAATCAAGAGAGTTTACTATGCAGCCCAAAATTTAAAAAGTCTAGAAAGTTGGTCAATTTTCTGACAAATTTTCATAAAGAAAACTTAGCAACATTCATGTAACTGAACTTTTTGTTGATGATCAGACTTCAAGTTGTTCCAAAGCCAGGTGTTAGATACAAAATGAAAATGAGAAAAAGAAATAAAACAGAAGAAATTTCTATACATTCATCAAACATCAGTCTCAGAAATTATTCTCAATTATTCTGTCTAAAGTATTTCAAAGGAATTTTGCCTGACTCTGCCAAAATGGATTCAGCAGAACCATAGCATTGGAAACCTGCATTCCAAATAGTTAAAAATTGTAAGCACATGACAATCTTAAGGACTGATAGAGTCATGAATAGTCATGAAGGAAAAGATAGGTTTTAAAGTCTTTCTATACACCGTTAAAGTGATGTAGCAGGAGTTTTAGTGAAGTGTTCTCAAAGCTCGCTAGCATGAAAACTACCAAACGTCTATAGAGCTCAACACTTGGAAGGTTTCAGGAAGCTGAATGTCGCACCTGATGCAGCCAAGCCAAGTGATTTTCCTGAGAAGTAAAAAACCACACATACGTTAACTGGTGGGGCTTTGTGCAAGAAGGGTGACAAAAGCACACACATAGAACAAAGGAATCCCTGGCAACAACCAAATATTCCCGCTGTAACTTGACTCAAAGGTAAGAAAGCAAACCAAGAATTAAGTTGGGCAAACTGTAATGGTAGGAAAAGTCTGCTGTGGTTTAGTTTGTGCTGTCTTAACAGAAACTGTGCTTTTTCTTTGTAAACATAGAAATACTTGGCTTTTCATTTTTCCTTCAAATAAAAAACCCACCCTCTTTAGACACTAAAAACTGCCTTGTAATTGTTTGAAGAGAAAGGTTTCTTTGAAAAGCACAAGAAAATGGACAAAGACACTGCTTCCAGCAGCCCGTTCTGGGCAGACAGACACAGGAAATGCTTACAAGAGGGGTCAGAGGACCAGTATTTGAGATCATTATGGAGGGAGAATTTGGGAGAAAAACAGGCCGAAATGCACAGTTGCAACATTCTGAAAGAATCATGATTGCTTGAAGGGAAAGGGGGAAAATGTAGGAAGGAAAAAAGGTAGTTAAGCAAATTACAGAAGAGTAAAAGATAAAATGTAGTGGCACTGAAATGAGCAGGAAAAGGGAAAACATTGTACAATTGGGCAGGGAAGAAGAAAATTCTATTTGAAACTCATGTTTTAGCCTTTCTTTCAGCAAGTGTCAGTTTTTTGTATTTTCTACCCTATATAGGCACCGTTCTCAGAAACACACGATAAAAAACACAGAAAGAAAACCAACACTCTAAACACAGCCCTGAGATAAGAGTGTGTGTGTAAGCACACATGTAATGCTGACACCTCAAAAACAAACTTTCAGAAGAGAAAATGGAACGAGAAACAGGAGATGTAAGTGTCCTCTAATGCAACTGGCTCTAAAGACCTTTACTCACCAGGTTCCTCAGGGTTAGTAGGAGTTCCAGGTTCTGCAGGAAGCGTCAGCATCTCATAGCCACCTTTAGGACCTAGAATACAGGAACACCATCAATGGCTTTGGATTTAGGAATCTGCACATTGAAAACAAAGCACATGATTTCCTGTTTTTGACTTGTAACCTCCTAACTTTAATAATCACACTGAATAATCTCAGAAAACATACACAGCAGTCAGCGTTGACTTTTCTGTAGTGGTGATGCCAACATTTTCTAATGTGTGTAACACCAAGGAAATAAACTTTAGGACATTTTTACAAGGATTCACACTGAAGGCCACTGAAGTCAACAGTGTTTTTTGCTATACCTCAATGTGGGAGCAAAGCTGTGTTGAATGCATGAATCAGGGAGAAATGCGTGGGTGATCTTGGGAGCATCTGGAAGACTCTTGTTAAAATTCCACCTCCAGCATGATGGATAGCTTCTTGATTTCTGACAAAGCTCTGCAGAAATGGCTTAAACTGGCCCTTCCAAAGATAACTTTGCTTTCCAAGTGCAAATCATCATCTTTGCAAGAAGCCAGGTTGCACAACATCCCCTTTCAGAGCACTACGCTGAAAAAAAGATGTCCAGGATCTCTCATGATCTCAGACTCCATCTCAGTTCAACCAAGGCAAGCTAAAAAGCTATGCCCCTAGAATCAACATGTTTGGATTCATTTTGAATTACAAACACTCATAGTTTTATCTGTTGGTGGCGTTTCTTTCTCTATTATCATTAAGAATTATCTTTAAATGTGGTGGGTTGTTTTTTTTCCCCACCACATCATTGCCAGGGTACAGGATTCCTCATGGCCCGAGGTGGGGTTTTTTTTGGTGGGTGCCCTTTGTTAAAGTGCTGGCAGCATTACACTGCTGTGAGTAAGATTACTGCCTATGCTCTGACACTTATCTCATCTGTCACTACTTCTTCTAAACTTATCCCATCTGTCAATGCCTTTCTAACAAAAACCCTGCAAAGCAAAAGCCCCAAAGAAATACATAAGTCTTACAGTAGGGAATAAAGTCATACATTACCTTTAATATTTTCTGAAGTTTAAAATCCTTTAAGTTTAAATTAATTTAAATTTTCATGCCGTGTAACCACTTACCAGCTTGGAGACTGTGCCCTCTATGTACTTTCAAAGACCCAGAAGCTGCCATGACAGAAGCACCACCTGTTTTCAAAGAGAGATATTCACATTAAATCGAAATACCTGTTGCTATTATTAGGTATCTGCTGTGCATCACCATTTTTAGCAGATGATTCTGAAACATCAAGAAAAATTTCAGTAAGAATTACAAGTCATTGTTCGTCATTTAAGCAATATTCATTTTTTTATGCTAAATTCTTTACCCTGAGATTGTGGCATTATAATTTAATTCTGTTGTTTTCTTTTATAGAAGACATCTTATCTTTTTAAGCTTCAGGATACTGGCATCCCTGATTGTGGTGGGTACTACTTCACTCATAGAGATGGTCATCTTGAACTGAGAAGTAAAATGGCAGTGAAAACTGAGTGGGGATTGGCTTTGCAATCCATAACGTAGCTTTGGCAACCAAAACGTTTAAAGCGTTCATTAAAATTTCATCAGACTAGATCCAAAACCTATTAAAGTTAATGGGAAGAATTGTATCACACTTTGGTAGTCCGCAGTCCAGTTTTAGACATGCATAAACTCGGGCGGAGTGAGGGGTATGCGAAGAACCAGCTTCCATGGGGTCTGAATCCAGGCTGTGGTTGGTCCTTGTGAAACACCATCCCAAGTGTCCCAGCCAGGAAAGCTTCACCAAGGACACATCCAATGGCACAGACTCCTTTCCCCAGTCCTATTCAGATCCGCAGGAAGCTGTCACAGGATATGTCCCAGCATAAGCTGTCTTATGCATTAGATAAGGAATTTTGAGGAAACAAGAGCAACCTACAGCATGGTACACATCTAGCGTGGTTTCTCTACATACACACATCCCTTCTTTATTTAACCAGCAAACTAATAAGCATCATAGCTACTTGTTCAGTTAGCATCATCCCTATCCATCTGTGAATGTCTTGTCTTTACTGTTATCACTGCAGGCACCTTAATCAAGATCAGTGGCATTTACTTCCTCACATGAATAATTTTGAGGGAACTTCTTGTGCAAGGGAACTTCTTGTGCAAGGGAATGGTACGTTAACAGAAGCGAGGTGGGAGGCTGCGCTGATGAGTAACCCTGCACTGGTGACAGGGCAGCTGTGCCACGCGCTGCTGGGTGTTGGGGATCAGAGATAACATTAACACTCCCTTCTAAACTGATTAATAGTCTCTGAGCAGGTGAGATGCTTCTCTGCAAACTGTTTTTAAAATAGCATCCAAAAATTACCATGATTCTTATGCAACATGAAGAAATTCTGTAAGCAGTCTCAAATACCTGAGAAATCTGCATCACCTAGGAACCTAAAGAAAATGACCATTTCTAATTTTTTTTCCTCCATATAAAGCATACATTCATACTTTTTTGTAAATCTAATAATTTCCAAGCTTATACAATTACTCCTACACTTTTATAAAATAAATCTAAATAAATACTGCAGAGTATTTCACAATGGACAAGAGGACAATGGATTAAAAAAATAATAAATACCTATTTCAGAAGCACACAACTGAACTAAACCCTTTAGTTTTGTAGTCTCTGTGTACACAAAAGCATATCTATGGTAATCCAAGGCTACAAAAACAATTTTCAAACATGCCATACTGAGAAACTGATTTTCTATTTTAATAAATGAGATCAGATTGTAGAACCTTCACATACTCTGGGTGAGGATTTAACCACTAAAAAAGTTATTTGAAGCTTTCAACAAGACTGCTGACAAAAATAAACGCAAAAATAGGACAGCCCAGAACTAGCTGATTTGTGTAAATTTTTACCGTGTTTTTCCCTTTTCTCACCTCAAAGCATCCTCTCTCTGCATTATCAAGAATACCAGAATACACTTTATGCAGCTGAAAGCCTTACCTTACTTTGAAAAAAGACTACAGCTTTATGCTAATTGCAGCTTCATCACAAAACTAGTGTGCATTTTTTTTCTCCCTTGAAAACTTAATGTAATTCAGC